GCAACTATATATCTATCCCAACCTCTTTGAATACACAGATACAAAATGGACATTCATCGGTATACCCCGAAGCTAAGCCCTCTTATCTACAGCTTTTTCTTGATATTTTCATTGGAATGCTAGCCAAAAAAAAGAATGTCTCCCACTTGTCTACCAAATGTGAGCTTCATGTTAAGGAAGGTTGCAATCCAGGACCATTCTTCAGGGACACAAAATCAAAATCCCTTGGGATTTTAAACATCCATTCCCAAGAGTTTCTATGCCTGAACTGGCTTCTTCCATAATCTACATTCACACATTCACTCAGCAGACACCAAGTGCCTCCTACAAGTTAGGATCTTTTCCAGGAATCAAGAGCACAACAGCGGACAAAAGAACAATGCTTGGTTCTCAGGGAGTTTACATTCTATCGGAAAGAGGTGAACATTTAACATATAAGCCATAAATAGAGCACAGGTTAGGATGGATACAATGAATATGAAAAATGGAATAGTATAAAGTCAGAGCAGGATATTCTGGAGGCATCTCTGGCTTCTTTACATGGTTTGAAACCTGATGAAGAAAAGACACCAGCCATTCCAAGGTCTGGGGAAAACTGGATCCACAAAGACAATGAGCCAGCTCTCATTTGCTGGGCAATTTCATCTGTTCTCAAAGCAGAAGCCTTCTTTAAGTCTTCAAAGGACTGTTGAAGAAGTCTTAAGTACTGAGAAGGTGGAAGAGTGGCATTCTACAGCACCATATTCTGCAAATGAGCCAGGCTTGATGGTGCCTGCCTATAATCCCAACCCTCAGAAGGCTGAGTCAGGAGGACTGCCATGAGTTCCAGGCTGGCCTGGGCTACAAAGTAAGTTCAAGATCATCCTGAACTGCATAGTGAAACACTAGCTCAAAAGTACCACCCCCTCCCCCCCAAAAAATCTTGCAGATTAGATTTTACTGTAAACAGAGCAGGAGATTATCAGAGGTATATAATTCAGATTCCACTGGCTGCCAGGGGCAGCCAGATTGTAGGAGGTAAGGGTGAATTGGGTGAGTAAACTGACAAAAGGAAGTGGCTTTCAGAGTGGAGGGTGTGGCAGGGTTGGAAGCCAGATGGGCTGCTGAGGCAGGGAAAGTGCCAGGAGAAGAGAACTAATCTGATGCAGTCACAGAATATTCTGGAAGTAGAACTAACAGAACCTGTTGATGCAATGGATTAGAGAATGTGGAGGTCAGTAAGGGACCAGAAGGGAGAAATAAAGGATGACCTCCGAGGTTTCAGGGTGCAGACTGTCAATCTTGAAAGGAGCATGCTAGGAAATAAGAAGCAATACAATTGGGGCGGGCTCAGAGGGGGAAAGACTATTCGGTCTCTGTCTTTTGCACATTTTGGTCAAGATGGTAATTCGACAACCACCCATGTTGCTGGGAAAAGTGGAATATTCAACTCTTGAGTTCCACACCTCATAGAACTATCTCTGATCAAAGTGGTCTCACCCTTCTTTGAAATCTTTACACCACTTCTTATCTAAGCCTTCCATTGGGCAAGTGTATTTGGCTCATTTGTTTTTTTGTGGCAAGTTCAGGGCCCTTTTTAAAATATTCTTACTTTGAATATGAGATCTGAAGCAGAAGTTGGGGGCCTGCTGGTTAGCTCAGTTGTTGAAGTGCTTGCTTATGCAAATGTAGTCAGGCTCAGGATACCCCGGTTGGGTCCCCTGAGCCAGCCAAAAAAACAAAAACAAAAACAAAAACAATCCTTCTGAACTAGCGGCCAAGAGCCCTCCAAGTTTTGTCCCTAACAAGCTAGGCTGTCTGTGGACTTCACTTACACTCAAAAGGTGCCCATGTGCTCCCCTATCAAACAAGAGGCGCAGAAGAGGTTAGCCTACTCTAAAACCACAGCACTTGATGGATTTATTTCATAATTAGCTCATGGGCATCAGGGACTACAACCTTCTTTAGTCTCCTACCACTGGGGAGCACACAGCCTACAAGCAGTGGGCTCTGGATACACCGTACTGAGGCCTGGGAGAGCACTTCGCCTTCCAGCTCGCTCCCGGCCTGAGTTACGTTCCTGGAGAACCACTAATGTAATATGCTCTGCTGTATTTCTTGCCCTCCTCCATGCACCTTGCCGTGATTACTGCCCTGCTGCATTTAAAGTAAAAAGCACTGCCGTCCTGCAGTGGTCGCAGCTTCACCCAACACCTCTCCAGCCCCTGGACCTCTTTCCTGAGCAACCAGGAAATCCTAGACTTAAAAGTGCCAAGACTTCCCGAAGCAGTCACTTAAAAAGTTTTGGGGGCTCCGGGGTTGAGAAAAGCCTTTTCCCCTCTCTGCTGTCCCTCGCGGGGAGCCGGCAGCCCCTGGCTCCCCACCCCCTCCCACTAAGCCCAGGGCCCCGGCACAGGAGTGGGGGACCGGTACCTGGCGGATAATACCGCAGCAGGAGGCTCTTGAGCTTCATTTTCTCCTTCTGAGGTCTCTGGCAGATGGGCGGCGTAGCCATGGAAACGGCCAAACAGCAGCGGATCGCTCTGCGCCTGCGCAGTCTGGCTCCCGCAGGCGCAGCCTGCAGCGCAGAGCCGGGTAGGGACCCGCGGGGCGGAGCAGCCGTAGTCTCCCCAGGTCAGTGTCCCCGAAATTCTTAAAATTTCCTTAAATCGAATCACCTATTTTACCTCATTGTTTAAGGTGCCTTTTAAGAGCAAAATCCTATCGCTTTTGTAAGTGAAAACTTCATATAATCTTCAAAGAGCAGGTTCAAATAAACGCAATTTTTTTTAAAGGATATTGAATTATTCTTTGCCTAACAAAGACTCTGAACCAAGACCTTGCCTTTCTTTAAAAAAACTTTTTTTTTCCTCATAGAGGAAAAGAAAAATTAGCCACTATTTGAGATTTACAAGCCAGGCGAGCGAGCTTTCCACTGGATGTGCTCACAGGCTTGGCAAGATTAAACCAGTTCCCTTCAGGGCTAAGTGATACAGTTAAACCGAACAGAAAGGGGCCATACATAACAATGGACTTGTCTTTTACAAACCAGAGGAAGCCAAACGGAGGAAATTGTACAAAGTAATTTTCAAAGTCCAGGAAGAAATGACTGAAGAGACCGAACAGATAAACCAGCCAAATGCACTGGGTGATCTTGTGTACCAGACCAGAAATAATAAAATAAATACAAAATTTTATTCAATAATTACATAAATTATTAATAATTGATTTATAAAATTATTAATTTAGTAAATTAGTTAATTATTAAATTATAAATTTAATAATCAGCTATAAATACAAAATACAATATCGTTTAAAAAAACTTGCATTTATTTGAACCTGCTCTTTGAAGATTATATGAAGTTTTTACTTACAGAATTCATAGACAATGAGTGAAATCTGAAAAGGATTTGTGGTTCAGCTCATAGCGTTAGAACAGCTGCTTGATTTTGATTCTTATACTGCGGTTATGTTTTCATTAGGAAAGGCACACTGATGTCTTTGCAGATAAAAGGGGCATGGCCGGCCAGATAGCTCAGTGGGCTCAAGTGCCTGCTTAGGCAGGCACAGGCACCTGAGTTCGATCCCCGGACTGAGCGTGGTGGTGCGCCTGTAATCCCAGCACTTGGGAAGCTGAAAACAGGATTACTATGAGTCAGATCTGTGTAGTGAGACCCTGTAGACCCTGTACTAAATACATTAAAAAAAAAAAACTTTCCTAAAAAAATAAGCTAAAATAAATACATTTAAAAAAAGATAAAAGGGGCATGACATTTGATCAGTTGTCATAGTTTTGAAAAAGCTTACCTACCTGAGTATAGACATGTATGTATGCATCTTGAGAGATGGAGTACTAAAAAATATAAAGCGAGTGAACACAAGTTGAATCTAGGTAAGATTCTTTTCGAGAAATCACACGTGTGATGTTCGCAACCTTGCCTTTAAATTTTAACATTTTAATAAAATAAAAAGTGGCCTCTGTTCCCTGCAGGCCAAGCCAGGCTTCAGAATAGCCCAGAATGTGGATGGAATGGTGCGACCATGGGCTCTACTTTTGTTTTGTTAAGTGTCTCGGTTTTGCTCCCTGCTTCACCACTAATCTCATCCCTGTCTTCCTGTCTCTCTGGAACCAAAGTTCCTCATCACCCTTGCCTGCCCTTTACGCCCCTGTGCAGATTGTGCTGGCCCTTTGCTTCCAGGTGCAGGTAAAGAATTTCCCCAGTTCCATCACAAAATGCATACGAGTTGTCCTGTTGCCACTTAAAGCAAATCCTAGTCTTTTTTTTTTTTTTTTTTAATTTTAGAGAAGGGTCTACAGGGTATTCAGGGTCTCACTATTAGATCAGACTCATAGTGATCCACCTGTTTACAGCCTCCCAAGTGCTGGGATTACAGGCGCGCACCACCATGCCCAGTCTCAATTGCCATCTCAGCCCTCCCCAAGGGCGGGGCGGACATGGCAGGCCTGGGGATTGAACCCCCAGCCCCTGCGCTTGCTTGCAGGCGGTTTAATCTGCTGAGCTATTTGGCTGGCCTGCAAATCCCAGTTCTACCTTTGACAGTTTCTCTCAAGTTTGTGCCAAGTCTCTAGTAACTGATCACAAAGCTGTTCCAGGGGTGTCCACCTTCTGATCACCTGCAGAGTCCCTTCGCTATCTCTGGAGCAGGAGTGGCCCTGGTGGCACCCTAATCACAAACTTCAGCCTCCAGAACCATGAGAAATACACATCCGTTGCTTCTGAGCCACCAAGTTGATGGAACTCTGTCAGGGCAGCTTGAAATGAAACGTCCCCGGCAGGACGTGCCGGAAGCTCCCAGAAACCAGATGAGTAGCAGCGTTGCCTTCACTCCCCAAAATCAGTACAGTTACTGCAGTACAGCAACTCTGGGCATCACTTGTCAATGTGCGATCCCAAAACAGCAGCAGTGGGGAATCCAGGAGCTGGTGAGAATGTGCTTGCTTGCCCCCATGCACTAAGAGAAGCCGGTGAACACACTGAGAGCAGGTGTTTTGGCTTGGATGTCCCTGAGAACGCTCATGTGTTCGGCAGTGGAGCTTCCCTGAAGATGGATGGGTCACGGGGCGGCTAAGCGCACCCGTGGGTTAATCCACAGCTGAGTGTGGTGTTCAGAGGCGGGGTTGGCTGCAGGAGGGGTCACTGCAGGTGTGGTATGTCTGGGTTACTTTTCTCACTGCTGAGACAGAATACCTGACACCCAAAGTTAGAGAAGGAAAGGGCTGGGCAGCTCACAGTTTGTAGAGGTTTCAGTCTCTAATCAGCTGACTCCAAGGCAGGGTAGCTTGGAAGCAGGGCATGACAGAGGAGAACAAGCTCTTGGCAAACAGAAGATGGCAGAGAACACAGGCCTCCTTCCGTCCCTTACATTGTATCCAGGCTACTGGGATTAGGCAAGTGCTGACCCAATCAGTGGGTTGATTTAGTGATCACCCACCGTTAATCCTAGCATGGCAGAGATTCAGCCACCTCTGAACAAAGCCCCACTACGACTGCATGAGATTTTGGGGGAACACCTCGACACAAGCCACAGCAGGATGCGACCTGGGAGGATGTCCACTCGCCCCGGGCCCCTCCTCGTGCACTCTGCCACCAGCTGCCATGCAGTGAGCAGCCCTCCCTCACCAGGCCCTTCTACCATTACATTCCTGCTTCAGAGCTGGCTAACCATGGACCAAAGTCTCTGAAGCTATGAGCCAAAATAAACTGTGTTCTCCTGCACATTGTGGGTGTCAAGTATTTTATCCCACTGGTATAAACGATGACTCATACAGAAAGTCCCTGGGAGGGTGAGCTGGAGAGGAGGGTGACTTCTCAAGGTAAGCGAGGCGGAGGAGGAAGAGAAGGCAGTCAGCCTGAGGAGCCAACTCGGTATTAAAGCTGAGCTCAGTGGAGTAAGAGGGGACCACGTCTACCACCGGCTTGGTGGCTACCACTGGCCCAGCTCCCTTTGAAGAAAGAGAGCATTGCAAGCACTAGTATTTGGGCCCTTTATGAGAGCTGTGACAAGAAAGAGTGACTCAGTTTCCTCCTGGGGCAAATGAATGAGATAAAGCGGCTGTTCCAAGCCAGGCAGAACAGGCCAGCTGCACACAGAGGTTTTAAGCACCCCTGTCGCAGCAGGCCTGTGAGCAGAGGGACTGTATTGTGCAGGGCACATGGTGACACATCAGTTTTCTCCTGTCTTCTTCCACTCCCACTGTACAACTCAGAAACATCTGGTCTTACCAGGATGCAAACACTGAAAGGTCCAGTGCCACTAATGAAGTTGTTCAATAAATATATATTGAGGTGTTACTGTTCCAAGGATCTAAATTTGAAAAAGTCATCCCAAGGGAATCATTTATAGAAAAAAAAAAAAAAAAATTGAAAAAAAAAAAAAAAAAAAAAAAAAAAAAAAAAACTCAGAGTTGAGGTGAGCCTGAGCTATGGCATGTGTTGGGAAGGGGCCCCAAATTTTCAATTGCTTGTCAGCTCAATGCTGACAGATGCAGGCTACACTAGCACGGACGCTATCTGCTGCCTCTGGTTCATTAGAGCAGACATCCTGACTTGGCGCTTGGGTCCTGGGGCAAAGGCCCTCACAACTGGGGTCCCATCTCCTCAACAGAAAAGTAGAATGATCGTGGCATCCAAGTCCTAGAGCTGGTGTTGCTCTAAGTCTGGCTCATGTGGAAACTCTTCATACTTATTAGGGACGATGCTGATAAGAGGTATCACCATCTTAAATGTGTTGGAAACTGGGGTCAGATATACATACATGATTTCCGTTGAAATTGATAATCCAGGACTGGCAAGGTATCTCTGCAGACTAAGGCACCTGCTTAGGCAAGCTACGGCAAGCACCAGGACCTCAGTTCAATCCCCAGCACCACATGCCACGCCAGTGCTGCCCTCAAGGCAGGCTGAGCCCCCCAGAGTCCGGGCATAATGGTGCACGCCTGTAATCCCAGTGCTGGGGAGGCTGAGAACAGGAGGATCACCACAAGTTCGAGCTGTGTAGTAAGACCGTGTAACAACCAAATACACTTAAAATAAAATAAAACATAAAATAAAATTATATATATATTATATATAATAAATTGATACTCTAACTCAACAGTGCTCCAGTAATCACTTCTGTGAAATTTGGAGTCTTTTGTGTGATTCTGGAAAATAAAGTCACTTTCTAATTATGTTATTAATATTACTTGATATATCAGCTATACTATATATATAGCATACATCAATTAATATTAGATATAGAGGTGACATAAGTATCAAAACCAGCTTACATTCTTTGAGACATACAGTAAACACTTTTCTAAGATCCTAATCGTTTTCTCTCCTTCAAGAAATGACTTGTTCGGATTCAGGTATCTGTTAGCTTAGCATCTCTAAGCTAACAAGTTAGAGATACTCCACAGAAGAATGAAAATGAAATGGTATAGGCCAGATAGCTCAGCGGATTAAAGCGCCTGGTTAGGCAGATGCAGGACCAGGGTTTGATCA